CACATACCTCCTTGTCACCAATTTTCCAATGATGTTCCTGACTATCCAGTCAAACCAGTGGCCACAGCCCATGAATTAGTATACAGTTGCACATCTGGCCATTTCTCCTTCCAAGTAAAATGAACAACCAAGTGCACTGCTCGAAGTTCTACCTATTTGGAAGATTTCCCTTCACCACTGTCCTTCAGGGAGGTCCCAGAAAGGGACTACAATGCTGCCACTGTCTGCTTTCGAGTGGTGCCTGCATATTGTTCAGAACCATCCATAAACCAGGTGCAAATTTTCTCTACCTCAGTCAACTGATCATAAGGAACTCCCCACGAGGCCATAGGTGCAGACTGGGAGAGGGCAGATAACGTGAAAGGAGTGGAGGCATGGGCATTTGGGCCAATCCCTCACGCAGCTTACTTGTGCCTTCAGGTCCTGCTCAGGTGTAATGATGGAGTGCTGTTGTGCACGTCTCACTTTATGGCTTTGTGGGTCAGACAACACCCTGTTCATGACAGGCAGCTCAGGCTGCATCACTCGGATATTCACCCTCACCAATTCTATTCGATATTATACTGGAGGTTCGAGGCAGAGCAATTGGGCAAGAAAAAGAAATGAAAAGAAGTAAAAGTGTCTATTTCAGACTTGATTGTCTAGCAAAAAAAACTGATTAAATCTACAAAAGAGATACTAAAAGTGAGTTTAGCAAGGTTTCAGAATACAAGATCTATATGCAGAATTCAATTACATTTCAATGAACAACGGGAAGTAGAATTTTTTTTGAAATATCATTTACAATACCATCAAAAACATGAAACACTTCGAGACAATCTGACAAAAGGTGTGCAAGACCTATACACTGTAAACCTCAAAATATTACTTAGAGACATTAAAGACAAAGCAATGGAAGGACATATTGTGTTCATGGACTGGAAAACTCAATATTGTTAATACGATAATTCTCCCCATTGATCTATAGATTCAATGCAATCCCAGTCAAATTCCCAGCAAGCCTTCTTATAAAACCTTTATTTTGAACCACTTCACTATATTGTGTTCTTTTTAAAACTGTCTTTCCTTCAGTTAGAACAACAACAACAACAAAAACAACCAAAACCTGTTGCCTTCGAGTCGCTTCTGACTCCTAGTGACCCTGTAGGACAGAGTAGAGCTGCCCCATAGGGTCTCCAAGGATGCAACCTTTACAGAAGCAGACTGCCATATCTTTCTCCCACTGGGATGTCTGAATTGCTGACCTTTCAGTTAGCAGATGAGCACTTTAACCACTGTGCCACTAGGGCTTGTATCAGTTAGCACAGTCTCCAGCAAAGATTGGGTGGAGATATAGATGTAGTAGAGAAAAAGGATCTTTTTATAGATTGGGTGAGGCAATAGCTGACGAAATGACTGTTCTTCCCAAAGATGAAGAGTTTCTATGGCAACTTTCACAACTGAAAGATTCTCCTAATAGTACCTGTATTGATGTTTCAGTATT